GAAAATAGGGTAAATTAGTTCCCTCAAAGCATGCCACAGTCTGTTTCAGAAGGTTTGATAAGAAACACATTTATTTTTGTATTTTTAACATGCTCTTGAATTTTCCTTTTTTCTTTTCTTTTTTCTTTTTTTTTTTTATTTGAAAGGTTTTTGCTATAGGGCGCTTGTGCTCACCAGAAAGACAGAGAGAGACAGAAAGTGAGAAATCACCTCCTGGGGAGGATGGCCACACCGCAATCCCTTCTCCTCCATTCTCCTCTCAGGATCTTGGGCAGGCCTGCACACGCGCCCAGTGTGAGTTTAAACCACCATGTCCGGCACTTGAACCGCAGTCAACTACATGGGAGTTCAGCAACATAGCCATTACACGCACACACACACGCCCGGCGTGAGTTTAAGCCTCTGGTTCTGGGACTTGAACTGTGGTCAACCACATGGGAGTCTAGCGACATAGCCATTACGCCAACTGCTGGTCCCAACGTGCTCTTGAATTTTCTGCCTTTCTATCTATCCTGAAATACAGTGATAAAAAGATTATGTTATCTCTGCCCTCAGGCATTTGCCTATGAAACTTTTTTTTGAATTATTTAATTCAAAAAAATTAAATGTAGGGTCCATGCACTCATAAGAGAGAGAGAGAGAGAGAGAGAGAGAAAGCCACCAGGTCCAGGACTCAAACCCCTGTTAGCCATGTGGAAGTTCAGCACCTTAACCACCATGTCAACTGCTGGCCCCTACGGAAACTTATAATAACTGGGGGCAATGATTGAGCACCATATAGACAAACACTGCAGTGTTGCACTGTCCTGCCTCTGAACTAAGACTCTGTCTCTTTGAATGGAAGATGTTGAGATCAGCGTTAGTACTTATAGTAGGGTTGCCAGATCAAATACAGGATGACTAGTTACGTTTGAGTGACAGATAAATTACTTTAAGTGCGTTCCAAATATCGCATGGGATATTCTTGTACTTACCATTCGTTGTTTATCCGAAATTCAAATCTAACTGAGAATTCTGTATTTTCATTTGCTAAGTTTGGCACCCTCGCCTACCGGGGATTAGATGGATTGTGTCGAGACCCACTGAATCTGCATTTCATGTATTTTAATGATTGCATGTTTCAGTGGCTTTAGAAAATAATTCTGTGTAAAATAACCTAGTGGATATGTTGCTTTGTACTATTTCATCTTAAATCAAAGTCTCCTAGTTCATCCCTTTTCTACTCCATTTCATCAGGAAGAGTACCTAACTCTCTTTTGAACAATACAAAGCAGCAATTATCTGCATAGATGCATGAAGCGATCTCTTCTCCATCATTTGGCAGTGAAAAGCTCGTGTATGAAGCTGCTTGCCATCGTCGACTAGCCAATGTTGCCTCTCTGACTACGGGTTATATTCAAAAACCAAGCTACAAATACTTAAATGCCATTTTGGTTTATACGAATTGTGTGTTGTTGAGGAAGATATAAAAATTGGCTAGGATACAGTACATCCTCTCAAGCATCTTACTGTCTGGCTGAAGGGTTGGATACGTAAGCATATAATTATAACACAGGACAGTGAACAGTTGTCATGTGAGGCAAACAGCGTAGTCTAGAAGTACTTGAAATGGAAAGATAGATTCCGATTGGAAGGTTATAGAAGATTCTGGGGTCAGCCAGGTGGCATGCAGGTTAAGTTGCTAGATCCTGGTGCCCACAACATGGATTAAATCCCAGACCCAGTGGCTTGAAAAATATACCGGGCACATGTACATGTATGCCCAAAATCCCAAAAGGAGAGTGGTGGAGGAGGAACTGGTGTGGCCATCCACTCTGGGGGGTACTTTCTTTCTCTTTCTTCCTCTCTGTCTCTCTCTGGCAAGAGAATGCATCCTATGGAAATTTAAAAAATAAAAATAAAGACTAGAACTGGATGAAAAGCCTTAAGTAGGTGAAATGAATTTCGACAGATTTGAAGCCTTCAAAACAACGAGCAGAAGTCATGGAAACATTCAAGTTTGGGAATTAGAGACAGTGAGAGTAGGGGATGTAAGAAACAGACTGGGGTGGCAGGGGCTCCTGTGACGAAGTACCATAAACTGCCGGAATCTGGGTGCTCTGTCTTGTCTTGTAGTTCTGGGGTCTCTGGAGGTTAGACGTTGGAAATCAAGCTCCTGTCCTAGTTGGTTCCTTCTGAAGGCTGTGAGGAAATCTCTCCCATGTCTTTCTCCCCGCTTCTGGAAGCTTCAGGCGCCCCTGGGCCCGTAGGCGGTGCTCCCCTCTGTGCTTACGTCATCTTCCATCCGTTGGTGTCTCCCAGATTTCCCCTGTTTCATGAGGACACAGTTGAACTGGATTGAGGTTCATCCTAGTTATCTTCCTTCATTCATCTGCAAAGACCCCATTTTTTAGTAAGGTCACAGTCACAGATACTAAGGGTTAGGACTTCGATACCTTTTTCGGGTGACAGTTCAACCCCATAACATCATGGCGAGGTGGACGTCCTACCTCGAAGGGCGTTAAAGCCATCGTTGATGATGTTCAACTTTCCCTTAGACGAACGGGGAGCCCTTCAAGCTTTCTGTGCAAACCAGTGACAGGAGCAGTTCTGACCTGATGTGAAAAGGTGCCTTCCAGGCTGAGAGCGGATCTTGGGTTTGAAGACGAGCCTGTTCCGCCAGACAGTAGCCGCCGTCACGTACTCCGTGCTGGTCAGTGCCGAGTGCGCTGAGCACACGCAGTCTCCCAGGGGCTTGTCAGGTATGAGTATTATTACGACTGAATTCTTGAATGTGAAGAAACAGGTTTAGCGAACACAGAGGGGAGGGACAGGAGATGCTGTTCATTCCATTTAGACATGTTAAGTCTGGGCCAGCTGGAGGCGTGGTGGTTTAGGGGCTGGATTTCCCACATGGTCGACCGTGGTTCGAGTCTTGGACCCAGTGGCTTAAAACTCATGCCGGGCATATGTGCTTATGTGCCCAAAATCCTGAAGGGAGAATGGAGGAAAAGAGACTGCAGTGTGGCTATCCCCCCTGTAGTCCTATCTCTGTCTCTTTGTATCTCTCTAGGGAGCTCACGTGCCCTATAGCAAAGATCTCTTTCTCTAAAAAAAAAAAAAGAAAATCATGCTGGGCGTGTGTATGTGTGCGTGTGCCTAAATCCCAGGAGAATGGAGGAGAAGGATTGTAACGTGGACATCACCCCTGGTAGGGAGCGTATTTCTTACTCTCCTTCTCTCTGTCTCTCTCCTGCGAGTGTACACACCACGTGTCAAAAACCTAAAAAAAAAGAAAACACTATTGGGTTGTCAGGAAAGCCATGATGCATTTTTGCACAGAAAAACATAGAAAATTACTGTGACTTTCCTACTGACCCGTAGGGCTGGATGGTGGTGTAAAACACGATGCTCCGTGAAGAAGTCTCACACGGGGATGTCCCCAGTTCAGTTCAGAGAGTTCTCAGGCGTACACTTGTCCATCATCGGGACTGACTGGGCGGACTGAGGTGTGGAGACCGTGTTGGGGGTGCTGTCTTTCTCTCACCCATGGAAGAAATAAACAAAAATTAAAAATACTATAGGTTTTAGAGGAAGAAAATGATTAGCCCCTTGGATTATATATAAATAAAATACTCACTGCTTGTTCCTTTTTTTTCTTTTTTTAATTAGAGATTTTTGCTGTAGGATGTGTCCATCACCAGAGAGACAGAAAGTGAGAAATTACTGCCACCACCACCCCTGGGGGTGGGGGAGGTGGCCATGCCACAACCCCTTCTCTTCCATTCTCTTGTAGGGATTTTGGGCACATGTGCCTGGCATGAGTTTAAGCCGCCAGATCCGGGACTCAAACCATGGTTGACTGCATGAGAGTCCAGTGACGTAACCATTATGCAATCTGCTGGTCCCACGGCTTGCTACTTCTGATGTTGCCCTCTGAGTTTCTAACGAGTCCAGAACTCATCAGACTTTACTCACTCCATGCTTCTCATTAACAGCTACTTTCTAGCCTGCCGCGAGGGTTAGGCTTATTTATAACTGCAGCCAGAACCCACCACAGAGGATTAGGCCTTGGTACTTAACACTACTTTTAACCTATTTGAAAAATGTTCTCTGTATCGTTGTCCTATAATTCACTGAAATTTTTTGTGAAATGTTTCATACAAAATGAAGAGTGTATAAAATATGCATATACATTTTAAGAACGGCAAATAGGATATACATTACTTATCACTGAGGTTAAGAAATGGAAAATACTAGTATTTTAGAATACTGTTGTACCCCTCTCTTATGTCCTGATTCCCTCCCCAAGAGGTTTCATTACCCTGTCTTAAGTACTGTCATTTCTTTTTAAAAACTTCCTTTTAGTATTTTTTTCAAGAGAGATTTTTGCTATAGGGTGAATGAACTGGCCAAAGAGACAGAGAGAGGGAAAGCGAGCAGTCACTCCACCACCAACCAATCCCAGGGGATGGCCACGCTGCAGTTCCTTCTGCTCCCTTCTCCTAGGATTTTGGCCAGGCATACACACATGCCTGGCATGAGTTTCAAGCCGCTGGTCTGGGACTTAAACAGCAGTCGGCCAGGTGGGAGGCCAGCGCCCCAACCACCATGCCATGCCACCCACTGGCCCCTAAATTTTATTTTTTTAGGTGCCAGAGGGCATGTGTGCTTGGCAGAGAGAAACAGAGACAGAGAGAGACCGAGGGAGAAAACTCCCCCAGTAGATGTAGTTATGCTGTGATCCTTTTTCCTCTGTATCTTCATCATTTCAGGATTGGGGCATGCGTGCACACATGCCTGACATGCTTTTCAAATGACCAGGGCCAGAATTCAAACTGCAGTTGGCTATGTGGAATCCAGCTTGCTTAACCACTAGGCCACACGGCTGGCCACATTCCTTCTTTCCTTTTTTTTTTTTTAATCGCTTTATTATCTATGGAAACATTCCTAAACAACGTTATTATTTATTTTGTAAAAAATAATATACCAAACGCGTTAGGAAACAGCAGTATTGTCATAATGAAATGAAGGCTTCCAAGAGAAATTACCGAGTAGTCTGGAAGAGGGTTCAGAGTTTCAAGGGCTTCTCTTTAGGCAGTCAGGGAAGAGTGTTATGAATTGGTTTTTGGAAATAGGAATACAAGGTACATTCTGGTCCTGGGAGCAGGTGTATGGCCACGTGGAGGGCGTGCTGTTCTGCTTTTCCGGGTTCTGAGCCGGCGGCGGTCTTCCTCCATCACTTAGATCAGACTGGGCAGGGTGACCTGAGGGTCCCAGCCATCTCAGGTAGCAGGGCCAGGTGGGCTGAGGAGGGACCTTCAGCAAGCCGGATGTGGATAAAAACACGGAACAGACTTGGCTGGGCCGCCCGTCTTCGGGAACAGGGTTCCGGTGGTGACATCGGTGGTGACAGCCGTATGCTCTCAGGAGTCGCGTGGCCACATTGTAAGCGGGGTGCCCTTGAAATCGGGTGCACAGTTGGTGTCTGGGACTCTCTTCACACTCTTCTATTTTTTTTTTTTTTTAAAAGAATGATTTTATTGGTCACGTGACGACTGGCACCGCCTCTTCCTCTCGTCCCAGATTGAACTCGAGTTGGAAGAGGCGAGTCCGGTCTCAAAATGGAGGTAAAACCACCGCCCCGCCGCCACCGCCTCGGGGAAGAGGGTCGTGATCCAAAGGAACCGGAGCCGTTGAGAACCCTGTGTATTGGTCTGAGCTTTGAAACTACAGAGAGTAGAGTTTAAGAGGACAGTTGGAGAAACGGGTCCCGCTCACGATTGTGCGGTAATGAGCGAGCCCCGCACAGAACGTTCCAGAGGCTGTGGGTTCGGGGCTTCCTCCCGCGGTGAAGAGGCGGACGCAGCAGGTGTGTGCTCGGCCTCTCCAGGCTGATGGGCATGTAGTGGGACCAAAGAGCTGTTTCTAGAGAGGATTCTGTAAAGCCTGGGGCCTGTCCACCCGTGAAGACGTGTGTTGGTGGCATCCAAGAAGATACAGAAGAATATGATTTGAGCGACTACTATGAAAAAGTTCGGCAAGATCGAGACCATAGATGTTTTAGAAGATCGACAGAGTGGGGAAAAAAGAGAGGATTTGCTTCTGTAACTTTTGATGATCATGGTACAGTTGATAAAATCGTTGTTCAGAAAGACCACACTATGAACCGCATAGCTGTGAAGTGAAAAAGTCAGTGTCTAAACAAGAGATGCCGTCTGCTGGCAACTTTATGGGTCATGGAGGAAACTTGGGAAGTGGTGGAGGTAATTTTGGTCGTGGTGGAAACTTTGGTGGTTGGTGGAAGAGGAGGGTCTAGTGGTGGAGGTGGTTATGGAGGAGGTGGTGGTGGCAACCATGGCGCTGGGCCTGGTTATAGCAGTAGAGGTGGCTATGGCGATGGCGGGCCAGGATGTGGAAACCAAGGTGGTGGGTATGGTAGCGGTGGTGGAGGATATGCTGGTTACAATGAAGGAGGAGATGTTGGCAGTGGTAACTATGGTGGTGGTGGAAACGATAATGATTTTGGAAATGATAGTGGACAACAGCAATCAAATTACGGACCCACGAAAGGGGGCAGTTTTGGTTGAAGAAGCTCGGGCAGTCTTTATGGTGGTGGTTATGGATGTGGTGGTGGAGGTGGGGGATGAGGTTTTAGAACTCCTATGGTAGCAGGAGGTTCTAAAACAGCAGGAAAGGGTTATGGTTCTTAGCAGGAGAGAAAGCCAGGAGTTGTCAGGAAAGCTGCAGGTTACTTTGAGACAGTCGTCCAAATGCGCTAGAGGGAATGTGAAAATCTGCCACAGGAGGAACGATGACCCATAGTTAGAAAAGTTACTGCAGCTTAAACAGGAAACCCTTCTTGTTCAGCACTGGTGGAGACACAGTTTGCAAAAAGTGCAGCCGTTGATTAATGCAATGTAGTGTCAATTAGGTGTACATTCCTGAGGTCTTTTATCTTTCGTAGCTTTTTCTTTTACTTTTCATTACATCAGGTATATTGCCCTACAGATTGTGGTAGTGGTACCAGGAATAAAAATTTAAGGAATTTTAAAAAAAATTGATCTTACTTAATGCAATGTATTTTAATTTGACCAGAGAGGGACAGAGTGAGAGAGAGAGGAAGTGAGAAAGCAAGCCGCCAGGTTTGGGACTTAAACCGTGGTTGGCCATGTGGGAGTCCAGCGCCCCCAACTACTATGCTACCTGCCAGCCCCCAAATTAAGGAGTTTTTAACTTTTCAAAAAAAAAAAAAAGAATTATTTAACTTTTATTAATTAATTAATTTTATTTTATTTGATCAGAAAGGGACAGCGTGAGAGAGAGAGAAAGCAAGCCACCACCAGGTCCAGGACTCGAACTGTGGTCAGCCATGTGGGGGGTCCAGTACCTGTAACCACCACACCACTTGCCAGCCCCCACACTCTTCTTTTATCTGTCTGCTTATAGCCTGTAACTTTTTTTTTAAAGTCCCCCCCTTTTTCTTCCCCTTTTCCTGATGAGATACAGTCTCCAGTTGCTCCTTGAGAAAGGTTAAATGGAAAGTAAATGTTTTGAGCATTTCATGCCCAGGAAAATATATTTTATTGGGCCATCGAAAAAGTCTTCATGTATTTTTCTGTGTTTTTCTATGCAAAAATACGTTATGACTTTTCTGATGACCCAGTGCTTTCGTAAGAAGTCTTGATTAGGTGAAGAAGTCTAGGTTGGAAATAATGTGTCTTCATAATTTTGAACATATTACTCCATTGTCATCTGCCTTCCAATGTGACTAACCACCGGGAAGACTGAAATCTGTGTCCTGATTCTTTGTGTGTAACCTCTATTTTCTTTCTAGAAGTTTGCAGAATCTTTTTGTCCCCAGTACTACGATATTTCACAATGACGTGCCTCAGTGTAGATGCCTTCATTTTTTGGTACTAGACCTTGCTAGGTCCTTTTAAATGGGTAGCTGGTATTCTTCAGCTCTAGAAGGTGTTCTTGATTTATTTTCAAACCTTCCCCTCCTTTTTTTCTTTTTTTTTATATTCCACATTTATTTTAAGGTTGTTGCCATGGGGCACGTGCGCTTGCCGGAGAGAGGGAAAGTGAGAAAAACGCTCCCCCACCCCTGCTCCTGATTCCCTTCTCCTGCGTTCTTGGGATTTTGGCCTCATGATCCTTTCTCCTCCATTCTTGGGATTTTGGCCTCATGATCCTTTCTCCTCCATTCCTGGGATTTCGACCTCATGTCACACGTGCCTTGCGTGTTTTTCAAGTCGCCACATCTGAGACTTGAGCTGTGGAATTGGCTATGTAGAGTCCAGCCCCTTAACCACCATGCCACCTGCTGGCCCCTAACATTTTTTTGTTTTATGTTTGTTTATTCAGAGAGAGAGAGAGAGAGAGGGAGGGAGGGAGGGGGAGGCATCCCCAACAGGGTATTTACAGTCTGTCCACCGCCCTCAGGGAGCAGTGTTGAGGGAGACTTGGGGACAGAAGCCCGGGACCTTTCCTGACGGTCCCAGAGTCCTGTCGCATTGCATTGCTGCTGTGTGTGGAGGCTGGCCTCTGGCTTCCTCACTATTTTCTGTTACTTTTATCTTTTTTCTCTGGTTCCCAGAGATTGCTTCAGTTTTATATTTTAAGCCTCTATTTCTTCATTTCAGTTTTACTTTTTAATTTTTTAAAATAATTTTTTAGTTTATTAATCTTCTCATGAAAAATCCGCACAGTCACCGCAGAAGTCACTGCAGAATCTTTACTCCTTCGACTTTTTGCCAGCACCAACATTGGCTTTGCAGTCCACCTGACTTTCTTCATTCTGTTCTTGTGTTCCTTTCACTGTTTTCTTGACGTCTTTTTCTTCTCATAAATGCCATGTCTTGCGAGTCTATGTTTGGGTTCATTTTTCTTCGCATAATCCAAAGAATCTTAAATCATGCCGAAGCCAGTTGTCTTGCCACCACCAGAATGGGTTCTGAACCCAAACACAAAGATGACATCTGGTGTGGTCTTGTACAGCTTCACTAGTTTTTCCCAAATTTCTGTCTTAGGTACTGTTGCCTTCCCGGGGTGAAGGACATCAGTGACCATTTGTTTCCTCTGAAGTAGTCGGGTGCTCATGAATTTGCTGGTTCGGATAGTTACTGTGTCATTCATGATGGCGGTACATCCTCAAGCAGCCAAGGACCTAATTTTTCTTTTCTTTTCTTTTCTTTTCTTTTCTTTTCTTTTCTTTTCTTTTCTTTTCTTTTCTTTTCTTTTCTTTTCTTTTCTTTTCTTTTCTTTCTTTTCTTTTCTTTTCTTTTCTTTTCTTTTCTTTTCTTTTCTTTTCTTTTCTTTTCTTTTCTCTCTTTCTCTCTTTCTCTCTTTCTCTCTTTCTCTCTTTCTTTCTTTTTTTTAGTTATTGCTATAGAGTGTGTGCACTTGATGGAGAGAGGGAGAGAGAGAAAAAGAAGGTGAGAACGCCCTCCCCTCTGGCCTCCAGGGGGGATGACCAAGGGCCAGTCCCTTCCCCTCCACTCTCTTATTGGGGTTTGGGGCGCACATGCACATACCCTTGGTGTGATTCTCCAGGGTTTGGGTCCAAGACTCCAACCACGAAGTTGGCTGTGTGAGATCTGGTACCTCAACTCCTATTCTACCTGCTGGCCTTGTTTTCTAATCCGTTTATCTTTAATTTTTAAGTGTTCTTCACTAAATTGTACTCTGTTTTTGTTTTATGGATTCATTTTCGCTTTCTGGGTAATGTAGAAAATATATATATATATATATATATGTACACACGTTGAGCATCCCAATCCGAGAATCTAAAATCTGAAATGTTGCAAAGTCCCTAACTCTTTGAACACCAGCACAACACGACAAGTGGAAAATTTCACTCCTGACGCTTTGTGTATGTGGCAGAACATGGCAATACAGAGATGTATGAAGTTACCTTCTGGTCATGTATGTAAAGTATAAATAGAAACATAAATGAGGTTCATGTGTAGCCTTCGGTCCCATCCTCAGTTATCTTCTTATGTATATGCAGATGTTCCAAAATTTGAGAATAAACCTGAAATCCAAAAAACACTCTGGTCCCAACTATTACAAAGAAGGGATATTCTGGGGCTGGCAGGTGACATGGTGGTTAAAGGCACTGGATTCCCACATAGCTGACCGTGGTTCAAGTCCTGGACCTGGCGGCTTGCTCTCTCTCTCTCTCTCTTCTCTGGTCCAATTGAAATAAACAAGTGAATAAATAAATGAAGTTAAATGAAACAAAGAGGGATATTCAGCTTGGTACATATGTCTGTATATTCTGTATTAGAGACTTTTCTTTGGATATCTAGGAATATTTTGTTATCCTCTTATGATTGAAAGTGATGAGCTGAGGCTGGTAGGTGGCATGGTGGTTAAGGCATTGGATTCCCACATGGCGAACCACGGTTCGAGTCCTGGACTTGGTGGCTTGCTTTTTCACTTTCCCTCTCTTTCTCTTGTCAAATTAAAATAATAATAATAAAAACAAATACAATAAAATAAATAATTAAAAAATTAAAGTTGGGGGGACTAGCGAGTTGATTGGAGACTGTTTTTGGTACAGAGATATTAGAGCTGTGCCCGTTACCTTTCTTGAGAAAGTCACTCTGGTCTTTTGCTGAGGTGGAGGAGGGAGCGAGTCTAAGAGGCCAAGTGCTTTCCAAACAGCTTTCATGGAATCTTTCTTTCTTTCCTTTTTGAGAGAGATTTCTGCTTTATGGCGAGTTTACTCGCTACAGAGACAGACAGAAAGCAAGAAATCGCCCCTCAGGGAGGATGGCCACGCCGCAGTCCCTTCTCTCTTCTCCTCTTGGAATCTTGGGCACGCACATGAACGTGTCAGGTCCTGGATTGGAACCATGGTCAACTATGGGGAAGTCCAGTGACATAACCATTGCGCCATCTGCTGGTCTTGAAATCTTTATTTTAACGCCCCACCCCCTTGCCCACTGTTTTCTGCTCCTCCGTTTCCAGAAGTAATTGAAGTTGCTTTCTGTAGGTTGTCCAGTCTCCACCGTGTTTCTTGCCTTTGTATTTCTCCTGCCAGGCTATGATTTGGTTTTCCTGCATCTGCTTAATCACCCAATACTCCACTTCCAAGTCTTCTTCTTCTAAGGGTTTTTTTTATTTTTTTAATTTTAATTTTTTTTATTCTTATCTCTCCTTGTTTGTTCCTCTTACCTCTTTTTCTTGTGGGTGTAAGTATATAAGTAAGTCTTTTTTTTTTTTTTTGAGAGGTTTTTGCTATAGGG